GAATATTTACTGAAACCATATTCTCAAAGAGGTCTTACACACGAATAAAGAATATTTAATTATCGTTTAAGTCGTGCACGAAGAACTGTGGAAAACGCATTTATTATTACAAACAGATATGGCTATTAATGTTCAAAATGTTGATAAAGTAGTTTTAGCAACTTGAGTGCTCCATAATTATTTGAGACGTACATCACTTGCAACTTTCATCAAGTTATTACAGTGACGCAGAAGATATAGAAAGAAGAACAATTATACTGCGAATTAGCGTCAAAATGGAAACAATTTACAATCATTGCAACGTACACCAAGAGGAACTACACAAGCCAAAGAAATTCGACATCAATATAAAATTTATTTTAATAATGAAAGAAGTGTCCAATTCCAAGAACAAATGGCAAATAATAATACAGTTTACCAAGCAGTGTATTGTACTTTAAAAATGAAGATCTATACGTACCTCATCTTCAATATTATTTTCTACCGGTTCATTTTTTATTTCATCATCCAAAAACGACATTCCTTGACTAGATATTTCACATTTTGTGATAAATTTTAGTGAATTATAGTACCACAACGTTGGTATACATATCATCAGCAGAACTGTCACTTCTTTTTGACAATTGCACTTTTTTTAACTCTCTCTGGAAACTGCACCTCATACTATGAATCTTTTTAGTAACAAAATCTTTGTTAGCAGCCGGATATTTCTCTTTGCATTTTCAATTAGTTTATTATATGCAGCGTTTGCATATGCTTCCATTTTGTTGTTCCACAAACACGCATGTAACTTGTAAATATTTCTAAATTCCTCCCAAAATTCTTTGTCTATATCCATTTCGTTGAACTGTCTGTTTATTTTCTGGTTAAGTGTCACTCGGAATCTTGCTCATCAACTGAACTCTGATACTTGCATCAAGATCACTTGAAGACGAGAGGGCGACATTGTTTTTTTGCCATCCTTTCAGAAAATTAGTAACTGGCTGCAGCCAATCGAATTCGATTTTTTCTGCAAGTTGCCTAGGACGGACTAGACTTCATTGTTATATTGTCTAGACGGTACTGTACAGATGGTTTGCACATGGTAAGGTCTTCAAATGGACACGGCTCCGAGTTATCGCAAATTGTCGCGGCGCATAATGGGCTGCATCTAGAATTTTCGTTACATTTTGTAAAACAGCGATATTTCTTTTTTAGAAAACTCCAAAATAGGCGCCCCATAAATTTAGTTAGTTTCAAATACAATGAGGTCTTTCGCAACAATAGGTGTTGCCATGTGCATATCCGAGGTGTTGTGCAAGCAATGGGACAGTTTCCAGAAGAGGATGAGACCGATTCCCAGAATTGCCATCCCACCCAATTATCTCATGGGTCCTTCACACGTCCTGATTGATCTTAATAACATATCACATGATATTACATTTTATTTCCAATAAAAAAAATATTGCAAAGAAAATTTTATAATTTAGTTCTTATATCAATTATATAATATATTATTTATTACTTTACATTACAATAACATTTTATTCAGTTATTTAAATTAATTTTAATTTTACATTTTATATTAATTACAAAGAAATTGTTATAATCGTTTTGTAATAAAAATTTTCTATTAAAACAAAAGATTTATTTAATTATATTACTAATAGACTCCATTCTATTTTAAGAATAAGACAACATTAAAACATAAAATTAATGGAACAGCGATTAAACAAATATGAAATATATCATATTGTATATCATCGAATATTTGTTATAAATATTTATGATAAATTTCATTGCGATATCTTTTTATGAGTCAAGAGTTATTCAAAAATGTTGCGAAAATTCTCTTTGTTTTATGACAGTCATACCGACGAGGATAGCGAAATCCAAAACGGACTTTCTTTGTCCAACTAATGCTAGAAGTCTATTCCTGCATCAATGATGCATGCATCGTAACATGTTTTAACGTCTATGGGGGCCTTAACAGCCACCATGCTCGATCGGTTAGTACCTTTTATTGTCACTCCTGGTCGACGAACCTGTTTTGTTTAACGTTGTTGTAAAAGCGGTTAACGTCAGATCATCTAGGTCAGGGCAACCAAAAGTCCGTACTTTCACGTAAATTCATTGGCTGTAACTTGCTACTCGAAGTTTGTAAAATAGATCGGCCATCAGGCGGGAAGGCAGATAGACACAAGAAGTACGCACAGAAAGATGGAAGTTAGGCTCATAGATAGACGTTGGACAATAGATATGCAGTGAGAAACAGATTCATTTTCTAAGAAAATGTTCATTCAAAATCAATCAATTCTCCTAACCACGGGAAACGTCCCATTTTAAAGCATCTGTATGAAATTAAGTTTGAGTGCAGACAACCCGTAAGTTTGAGTCAGTCCCAACCGTAAGGCCCCCCACACACGTTGAAACATGCGGCAATGCATCGATTTCTAAGTTTCATGATGCATGTTACAATTTATGTAGCTCGGCATCAGTGAATCGGATTTCATAAAATCTAGTCTAGAAGTTTCAACACGTATGTGGGAACTTTAAACGGACGCGATTCAACATTCAATAGTCCTTGCCGTTCCCCTCCAGAACTACTGAATTTCTTGCGGTTCATTACCTTTCGGTAAGGTAAGTCATTACAGCCAATTGGCTGAACTTCCACAAAATAAGGATTTTTTCAAATGGCCGAGATGTATGAAGAATGTTATAAAGAACAGTACATCCTGTCATCTCAAATCAAAAAGGCGTGTCTACAATTTTCGTTCAGTTCAAGTCATTAACACCAAGTAGCATAAAAATAATTTATCTGTGTACATATATGTATGTTGTAAGAACATCTTAACTGAATTAAAATAAAATATAATAGTTTGTATTTCAAATGTATATAAAATTGATACCTGATTGTTAATTATTGAAAATCTTTTTTACAAAGTCATCATACATATCTGTTTGAATTAACAGACAAGGCAGAATTAATCTCAGTTGAATATTAATTACAAAAGACAGTCAATAATAAACAATTTGTGCAGCAATATTTGAAAAAAAAAAACGCAGAATACGCTGTAAATTAGCAAATTGTAATTTAATTGGGAAAATAATCAACATTTTATGATATGATGTAATTAAAGTCTGTAACAAGCTAGTAAATAATAATTAAACAGTTCATTTTTATGTAATATATGCAATAAAATACGCAAGACATATTACGTACGTATAAAACTCAACATCGATCATACTTTTATCGCAAATTTGCTTGCTTGATTTGTTGGAAATTGATTTATTTGGATCTCAAAGTGAAAAGAAGCTAATCGTTATTTGCGGTCATTATTGGAAATATTGAGTTGATAGCTGCTTTTGTTTTCTTGATCAGTGAGATATATACTGCTCACAAAAATTAGAGGATATTTCAAAATGAATATGAAGCGATAAAAAAAGAAGCTGATTTTGATTTTTTTTATTAAACAATCGAAAAACTTTCTTTGACTTGTCGTTTGATGTTTTTGATGTTCATGTTGATTGACAAAACTGATTGATTATTGGATTGATTACCAGAAAATTAACGATTAATTCAAGTAATTAATAATGTTAATCATCGATAATTATCAATTGTTAGTTATCAGATTTGATTGAATTATAATAAAAAAGGAGAGGGGTAGAAAAGCGGCAGAAATATATTTTGTAGAGAAATATTTATTTTTATAAGGGATTGATATTCGCACATATTTCTATTTATTGTTATTTTAATTCTTTACTGTTTTATATTCGTTTTTAGAATTACTCTTTTTTCAAATCTGACAATTTGGGGGATTTCGATGAATTGGCCATCGTTGCGAAAAAGAAAAGCCATAGAGCTGACATCAGAAGAAGTGTATTAATATGTAACAAATAGATTCTTCCGAAAGAAAGATCTATTTGATGTCAAATCTATCATCATCCTCAAAAAAATTTCAATGTATTAAAAATCTTGTCCCGCTGAACGTAAAATTGTTTGATTGTCTGAAAGAAGAAAATTTTTGTTGACCAAAATCAAAGAATATATTTTTTTGCGAAACACTTTTAATATCGGTGGAATGGTATTTATTTTGACTTTATTTCCATTTTTATTGCTCTTTCTACTGCTTTTCTAAATTCAATTAGAAGATTCATGGTAGCATATATTAATGCAGGACAACCCGCGATTTTTAAAATGTGGATATGATATAGTCACAACGATAGCAGCCTCTTTCCCATGGCAATGTAATGAAAGTAACATGAAAAAATTCATGAAATCTTTTTTAAACAACATGAAATTTTTTTCAAAAGTTTCTTCTAAAGGCCCGCGATATACTTATTCTTTTTCAAACAATAAATGTAGTTTGCTGCGTAAAACCTCGAGGCAACATGGTAACATAATATCATGACATGTATTATTTTCTGCTTGAAGCAGAAATCCAATGCAGATTAAATATTCTTCCAAATATCTAAAATTATTTTCATTGAGCACGTTTTCAATCTGCAAAGCTCTGAGTAATTGAAAATAAAGCCTTAATATTTAAAATTTGATTGAGATAATTACCATCTTAAGATCATTTCCAAATGTCTGGAATCTCGCTCAACATAAGTTTCACATTAATTTAAAAATTGTAAAACCTAAAATCTAAGGTCATTTGAAAGTCATATTATAAACATATCTGAATATATTTTTTCATGAACTACGTGATGGAATAGAAAAAAGTACATGTTTCTTGCATAAGCCCTCGTAAAAAAAACATTATTTAAAAAAAAAATAGTTCTTCCATCCGATTTGTCTCTTTAATCAATTATATCAGAAATTATCATTACTTTTCGTACCATCGCTAATAGAAAAGATATGTATTCAAAACTTGGTTTTCGTGAAACACTGTATATTCAAAACGATTCTGTCAGAGTTTATTTGATTAATTATTGAACAAGAATTGGCGATAATGTAATTGATTAGAAATGCATGTATCAGTACGTTCAGAACGACGCTTCGAGATCAACTACTAAACGCGGACCCAGCATTCATATGTTTAGTTGACGACAAAAGACAATCACACTCACATGCTCGCATCATTCATCGATATATTCCAACAGATTCAAAACGTATTAAATTTCATTACTATTGGTGAGTTATCATGTAAGTACTTCGAAGTTAGAAATCTTGAAGATTTTGAACGTATTGATAAGTTTTGTTGAAAACATTAAAACTTTTCAAAGATTTGAAGAGATTGTTTCAAAACTGACAACGAGATTCGAATGAACCACTATAATAAATGAAATAATCATGTAAAGATTATTGCGTCTGCACTATATACACATATGTACCATATGGACTATATATTTTGAAAATAGTATAAATTCATTTTATTTCTGTTTTGAGATATTAAATTTAATTTTAATTAATTAAAATAAATTGTACGTAAATAAAAGTCCACATAAATATTTGTATATTTAACAATTATCTATTGTTTAATTGTTTGTGTTATTTATATATATTGTAAATATAAAATTTATAAGTAAAAATAACGATAACTTGATTTATAATTGTTTATACATAAAAAATATTGAAGTACAGGTAAATTATGAAGTAAATGTTTCGTTTTC